CAACGGCCGAAACGTTGTAATCAATATGGCGACATATGGCGAATAATGTAAATAATGTACATAATACCTCATCTCAGAAATATAGACAGAAATCCTTTTCTTCTTTAGTATTTTTATGGGCGGTCACTTATGCGTTCAGTCTCAGGGCCGTCTGCACTTAATCAATCATTTATTTCTGCCTCATTTACGCCGATGTTTAACGCTGCAAATTGCTCAATAAAATCTTCCGTCGTCAGAGCGATCCGAACGATGGCATAATCCGTGAGAAGTAACATTTCAAATACGTCTGAGACCAAACTGTGATAATGCAAATGCGTGTTCTTTCTATTAAATTAACAAAAAATAATTGAACTGATTTTATTAGCATTTTATATATGAAGTAAAATTAAATAAAATCAATAAATAGAATAACAATATAAACAATGAAAAGAAAGAAAGAAAAATCAGAAGATCTGGATTTTATGAAGAATGTAACATACGGTTTATCGATGTACTATAATAAAAACGTTTTATTTTGCTTGAAGTTTGTCAGCTTATATGTTTTAATAATGTGTCTGTTATAATTTAATAAACTGAAATGACCGCATGTCTTCAGCAGCAGCAAGTAAAGAGAAACGATGAAGAATGGGGTCAAGCATGACAGCAACAGTCTGGAAAGTAGAATATTACATTTAAAGTTCCGTGTTCTCGGTTTAGGATTGTCCCACGAGACAAAGACCTAGTGGATTAGGGCGTTGGTTCGTGATTTTGATGAAATAGTAATTCTGAGATAGTAATTGGAATAAATAAAGTTTTCAATTCGAAATTCCTTGGAGATCACCTGAATCGACAGACTCCTGAAGAAGGTCAGTCACAACGGCCGAAACTTTGTGATAATAATAAGGATGAGGACCTTAGTCCAAATTTAAAGAATGGTAGCTACTCATCACTGAAATTCAGACTAAGAATGCATTTCAATAGATTTCCTTTTTGGCACTGCCAAATATATAGAATTTAGAGTTATAAATTAACATTGCTAACGTCTTGTGCGTAATAGGTTCTACAGATCTCGATGGATATCAAGCATAGCACCCAACTCGTCCAGAAATGTCTAAACAACCCTTTCTCAGATCAATGATTAAAAATGGCTTCAAGAGAAATAATCCTTTAGGACTTAAAGAAGACAACTTTCATCCAGCCGAATAGACTGACGCTACAAAATCACGAAGCGCATTAACAAATAACAAAAACCACATCATTTGTAAACTTTTAACGGCAACAATTATGGGTAGTACGTGTAAGTTCAAAACCAAATAATGATATCAATAAATTGGCTTTCCACATTACATTAGACAAAAGGTTAAGAAGGTAACATGCATCAATACGAGAAAGGGCGGTAACTGTTAATGGACATAAGAAGTGTAATTCCCTGAAAAACTGTTTCAAGAAAAGATTTTATACATTTAAACTGATTAACGCTGACTGTTCGGTCAATGAATGTCGAACGTTTCCTATAAGGAAACGGTTAATCTTACCGTTGCCATTATATAGGGTGGGCCAAAAGTATAGACTTTGCAGTTTATTTACGTTTTAGTCAGTTATGTGCCATGCGTAATAAACGCTTATCTTTCGATACATGACTGACGACGCAGTCTTTTTTCCCCCACAGTAGGTTGCCATTTCTTTCTGCGTTGCCATCGAAAGCTATAGAAACCGGTCTGTCCTGCTATTTACCCATAACTGGGGGGAGAAGATGAGGATTCATACCTTTCCCAAGGATATTAGCACGTAAGTGAATGTAATGGATTTGACTGGAATTTGAACTCCGTTTTCCGATTCCTCAATCCGAACCGCTATCCATTACTCCACCGTGCCTCCTCCGTGCCATTCATTACTCCACCGTGCCTCCACCGTGTCTCCTCCTTCTTATCAGCCATGAGCTAATCTATCAGGGGAAAAAATGATCACTACCTAATATCTAAATGAATACATATAGAGTGCGATGGATAAATTGTCGTTTAAATTACGCAGAAATTAAAATAATACTAACATCTCATTTTAACAGATATATTAACCAAATCTATACAAAAATATCTTGAGATAGTAAAGAGAAAATTTATTCAATAATATCGCCATTGGCTTCAACGACGGCCTCAAGACGACTTTGGAATTTCATACAACTCTCTGGGCGGTCTCTTTGTTTAAGTTGGTGAATGCTGCCATAACCCTTGCCTTCAGTTCATCTTTGGTGTTACAAGGATTTTTGTTGATCCAATGATTATACCGGAATTTATTTTGTCGTTATGATGAGATTAGAATTTTTTATTTATTACGTCGTTTTGTTGATTGATTTCCGATGGACAACAAGATTTAAACGATTGTTAACGCGGTGTAACATGATATCAAGGAATGGTAAATAATTGTATTCTTCCATTTCAAACACGAAGAGGAGAAATACATTGAAAACACTTCTTTCCTAAGGACTGCAGGTGTTTTGCAGACTTTTAGATAGATGGAACATGTGTTTGACCCATTTTGCTTAAATCGTTAAAGATCAAGTGTCACGTGTTTCCGTGAGTGGAGATCAAAGTCTGCTTTAAAGCTACAGTGGCAGATAATCATATCATTGAGAGGCGCAGTATACTGTCAACTTTAATATATGCACGCAGTTGATGCCCATTTTCAAGTCAGCCTTGATCAAACCTTTGTATAGTTGAAAAGCAGGAAAAGCACTAGACCCTTCGCCTTGACACTTTGTATTCTCAGGGGAAAAAGGGTGATGCTGCATCGCTTCAGATTGTCTTTGAGTTTGCCTTTGCAACTATAAAATTAGAAAAAACCTTAAAATAATCATAATAATATCAGCAACATTTGTCAAAAAGAAATGTTAGCTATAATAACATTTCCAGAGCAAAAAATAACCTTTTGAATAAGAGATCGGAAATTATGACCAGTTATATTTGAATTCATATGAACGGAGATGAAAAAAAAGTATGTACATTTCATTTAACCCCCGACCGATACATTTCCAATACTCTTCCTTTTCCCCTCCTTCCCTTTCTATCACACTTCATGTCGTGCACTTAATTATTTATTTGTAAATAATAACGCGTTCATTATTATTTTTTTACATAAAGCGTTAGGAAATCAACTGACCGAAATCGGCTGAATATACCGAAAGGTTGAAATCAAGCTAGCGGAATCAGCTAACTCTCAACTATGTATATTTCATATATATATATATATATATATATATATATATATGAAGTGGAAAAGCTTTTTAATGAGAACGCTTTTCGCCTTCGTGTGTTAGGCTAGCCTCTTCAGGTAAAAATGATTTTTTTTATCAAACAAGATTGACGTCTTCCAATCGGAATGAAAGACCCCCCACCACATCTTTTAAAATTTAAATGTGTTTTTTTTGTTTTTACTTTTATTTCTAACCAGAAGCCACCAGTCAGACACATGAAGGCGAAATGCGTTGCCATTAAAAAATAATTACACTATGTTATCATGGATACCTTAAGACATCAGCAAAATTTTTACTGTAATAAAGTTATGAATAACACGTATTCTTATTCTTCTTCTTCATATAAAGAAATATGCATAACATCTTACATTGATTGCACAACTTGGAGTTTCATACGTTCTGCATTCTTCAGGTACACCTGAAGAATGTAGAAACATATGAAGCTCAAGTTGTGCAATCAGTGTGAGATATTGTGTATATTTCTTAATATATTAAATAGCTCTGTTATTTAACATTGAGCATTGTTTTTTTACACTATATATATATATATATATATATATATATATATATATATATATATATATATATATATATATGTGTGTGTGTGTGTGTGTGTGTGTGTGTGTGTGTGTGTGTGTGCGTATTTGGATACGAACACTCTCTCGTATATTTATCCATTTCTCTTCTATATTTATCCATTTGATCATATATATATATATATATATATATATATATATATATATATATATATATATATATGGTTGTTGGGATTATTATTATTTGTGGATTTTTGTATTTTTCTTCTGTGGATTTTGTAGGCTTTGTCATTGTCAGGTTTCCAATGCCCGAATTATTTCCTGCTGAATGCTAAACGCAAAGCTTACAAAATCCGTAGAAGAAACACACACACGCACACACACACATATATAGTCTTGTCACCCTGTAACCCTCTCTCTCTCAAACTGTAGGAGCTTATGTCAGCCATTTGAAATAGAAAATTATATTATGTAGGGGTGACAAACTCTCTCTCTCTCTCATATATATATATATATATATATATATATATATATATATATATATTGTGGTGGTGTTATAAAGATTTTCATTATGCGTGCGTGTGTGTGCGCACACTTGAGTTCGAAAATACTTTTTTGTGTATCATTCTGATTTGTCACTGAAATCATTATACGATAGCTAAATAATTTTGAATTCCTTTTTTTTTTTAATTACCAGAGCAGAGCTCCTCACCAACCCAGCGTCTAGTATTTATGCCCATTTCTGTGATATTGTTAATGCTATCGACTCTCAACTATTCATTAATCAGATGCCCGCCGTGAATATAATTCCGTCATTTTCTCGTCTTCTAATACTTGTTAACGAATCTCACTAACATGATACGAGAATGTGTTCGCTTTACGTCTATTTATGTATGCATATCTTTTTGTGAACAATGTTCGGCAAATTCCGTCAACTTCCGTCGGCGCATGCTCATAAGGTTCACTCGCACCCGTTTCAACACAACTGAGCAAGGGTGAATAGAAGAAACTACTGTGGTCGTCCGTCTGCAGCAGATTAAGAACCTAAGTAAAAGAGAAACAAATGGAATCCTGCTGAAAAAAAGCGTTTTTTTTTCGTTGCATGGAGCTGAACTGGACAAGCATCAACCGATAAAAATCGAAATCGTTGTCGTCGTGTTGTGATAACTCGAGTCCAGAAACGGTAGAGAGAAGCGACGACAGTCCCGAGCCAGAAGCCCCAAACCAACACAAACATGTCTTCGTCTAGTCCAGCTTCTCCGCCTGCCAATTCTAGTCATTCGGGTAAAAACGAACCCGAACAGGCTCCAAGAGCACCTCACGATATAACTCTTAGTCGTCTTGCTAATGGTAACGCAGGTAAGAAGACTAAAAAAAACGTTTCTTTGTCGATGTTTTTGCTGAAAAAGGGAGTTATTTTCTGCCAACCAAGATTTAACATTAAAAAAAGGGGGGTTAGATCAAACTGCAAACGTAGACTTTAGTTCAGCTCGATTTCTTTTCATTCTTGTAAAAATACATCCCGAAATTTGTTCTGTAGATCTCTTTATAATTGTTAATCTATCGCATTGTTTACTGACCTAACCTATTTTCTTTCCAACAATGCAGAACCTTTTACAAATAAAAATACCTTCTTTTTTAACTCTTTTTTTTTTTTTTTTTTTTTTTATCCTAAAGAATCATTTGAACTTTTGTGTTCATCTTTGTTTAGTTAGCTTTCTTTATGGCATTTATTTATTTTTCTAAAAGAATGGTATATAGATTTGTTTGTTTTCTTACCGAAACATTTTTATTTTCTATTGTAAGCAAAAAAAAAAAAAAATTGTTATATAAAAAAAAAAACATGCTTTTAATTCCCACATGGTTGACTTGTTTGTAAAATATATATATATATTTTTTTTTAGTTTTCAATATTTTCGTTCAACATCGTAATGAAAATTTTTAAAAACTTGCAATAAACTCGATTTTTCTTAAATTGCTGAATATATATATATATATATATTTATATTAAATGAAAATACTTTATTGTATTTACGTGTGTGGTCACTGTAAAATTTTTATTTAAACAAAAAATAAAAACAATCGCGTTAGCCACGTGTCGAATCATGATTTTGTTTTTACGATGTTTTTTTTTTAATTGATAATAGTTCGATAGATCGATAATTAATACAAGTAATTATTAAGCAAGTGTCAATTAAGGGACCCCATTTATTTAATTAAATTATTTCAGTGTTCACTTTGTGTACTTTAAAAATTGTTTGGTATGTAATACAATTATTAAGCCATAATTACTTAAAAAAAAAAAAAAGAGTTATCAACAATTTTTTTTCTTTTGTTAATGTCTGCAAATATTTATTTTGCCAATTGTAATTTATTTTTTTTAAAATCTTAGCTTCTTTTAAAAATCCTTGGTGTTCTCATTGTTTTAGGGGAAAAAATAATGTTGATTGTAAAAAAAAAAAATAGTTTTTAAACGTGTAAAATGAAAATTATTAAAAGTAGAAATTTTAAGTGTATATTTTGTTTTGAAAACAAGTTTGTCTTACTCTTACGTGAGCGAAAAAATTCTTTAAAAAAAAGTGTATTTTGTTTTGCTTGTTACAAATGCCTAAGATTGCTAGATTTTAAATATCCTTTAGTAATTTAATTTTATTAAATGACTGTATTTTATGGTTATTTTAGTGTAAATAAAACTTTATATTTTCCTTTCTAGTCTTTTTTATGTAATGTTGGTCTCTTCATTATCTAAAAAGTGTATAGCTTGCATTTTAAAGGGAGATAATCTGAAATAAAAACGGAGGCTGGTGATGTGATTATTTGCTTGATATGATTGATTACAAAATTAACATTGTTCACTTCGTGGACATAGATTTTACAAGTACAAGAAATCGCTTATTTAACGGTTTCGATTAATTAGACTGTAAGCGTATTCAAAACTTACTCCTAATAATTATTTTTTCCCTTGTTTTTTGTTTTTGTTTTTTGAACTCTTAGGTTTTCAGCCACAGACGTAGAAATTCACACACTATCACGCGAAGAACAAAAATATTATCCTTGAGTTAAAGATCAGAATAACACATCAAAAACATTCCAACTTCAAAAATCTCTCGGGAAGCGCATTTTAATTTTGTTTCATATCTTTCTAAACAAATTGGGTATCTGTTTTATTAAATAAAAACTAGGGATTTCATTATTTCTGTGAAATTTGTAACTAGTTCAACATGTGATGAATTTGACCTATATAATCAGTGGCACAAACAAAAAACCATTTGTCATAGAGAATCTATGATAATAACAGTAACAGAATTAAAAAGTTGAAATGCTGTAGTTGAAAGATTAAAATATTTTTTGTCTTTTCTTAATATCTGTGTGAAAAATAAATTGAAAGTTTTTATAGATCGGTCATTTTAATTTTGAATTTCATGTCCCTTTCAGGACGTAGGCGATCGTGTCTCTTCAGATTTCTTCTCTTTATTTGTGATTTGTCTTAAATTCTTTGTAAAGACAGTACAAGGGTTTCCTCTTAGACTGGTTGTCATCCAAGGCTAGAGAGCAAGGTATACTGTTATTTAATACTTAGCTGGGAGGGAGAGAAGACAGAATCACAATCTTTCTCAACGGAATTAGTGTGAAAGTGAATGCAACAGACTAGCCTGGAATTTGAAGTTTCTTTTACCAAGTCTTTCGTATTTATATCTGAATTTTTACATGCCCCTCTCTCTCTCTCTCATATATATATATATATATATGACAACTTCTGTATATTTTGTAAAAGACATGGTATTAATTTAGTACAATTTTGTGTTTTTTTTTTTCTTTCAATTTACTCAGTAGCATTACAAGATTTAGTTTGTGTGTGCACATATATATATATATATATATATATATATATACACACACATTTGTGAGATATGTGATTAGTGTAGTGGTTATGCATGTAGAAAGTAGGATTGGTGTGCCGAGTTCAATTTCTAGTTGAGAAGAAAAACTTTGAATTGAAAAATTTCCTAAGAGGTTGGGCTTACCCTAGACACTATTATGGCTATAGTACATGTAGTGCCCTTATTACCCCTAATGGCTTCTTGGACTCCTGATGATAAATTGTGAAGTTTTTAATATGAAATATTTAGATTTATTCCTTTCCAGATTGGTATGAGATGAACTTTCATATGAACACCATATGGTTTATTTGTTGTATTGCTCTAGCAAGGAGCATCTCCATTCTTCTAGGCTTACTTATTGTAGTCATTCTATATTCACAATAAACATGTGGTCTTCTGAAATCAACTCTATATTTAAAAATTTGTAGCATCCAATGATTCTTTAATTATCAGAAGGTTCATTCAAAAAGTAAACTGGGCAAATAAAGACACAAGAATATTTTAAGCCAAATAATTTATAATTAATTTAATTCTCACATTTTGGTAAAATAGCAAAAGTTGCAGAATGTTTTTCTTTCTTCTACTTAATTTTGCTTCCTGATTCTCTTGGAATTTTTTAGGCATGTTAAGATTTGATATACTTCATTATGTCGGGTATTAACTTACTCAAACTCCTCTATGCTGTCACAGAAGGTGGTACAGTCAGTTTAACATGTGTACATATGGTCCAAGAAAAATTTATCCAGTAGCTGCAACTACTGTCATGCTGCCCTGGCATCCATTTTTGAGTAATGGAGATGCTACCACATAGAAACTCCAGGACTAGGGATACCTCATAACAAAATTGAATATCCAAAGGAAGAAACATGGCAATGGAGAATGGATATGACACTTGGTATTTACTCATCTCCCCCATCCACTGTAACGGGATATGGTACAAGGTCATCATAAAGTGGGGAGCCCAAGTGAGTTCGCAAAGGCAAAGAGTTGCCCGGTAACTGACATCACACTGGCATCAATATTCCATCAAAACTTTTGTGCAAAAGGGTGGGTGTTGTCACAAGGTTGGAATTACCATGGCCAGGCATCCCTCATTTATTTGTGTTGTCTGAAGACAGTTGAGAAATAAAATGTAATTTGTTGCTAAAAGTTAGGAATAATTTTGACGCACTTTTTGATTGCTAGGATAAAGAAAAGAAAAAAAATTGAAACAATTGTGCCAGCAAAATGTGAACAAGATTTGTGGAAAATATATTTAATAAAGTCTAGTTTTCAAACTTAAACTAGCTTTTTAGATTCACAATCTTTAAAGTAAAATTTTTACTTCATTTTCTATCATAATTTTATATCTTTTATCAATATGAATTTATCACCAACACTACAGTGCAGATCTTTTGTGACTTGTATATCAGCAATCAAAAACCTCATGATTTTATTGGTCCACTTTATCATTATTCTTTATCCGATCAAATTCTTACAAAAAAGAATTTGCTAATAGAAAATGTTACAATATCTGAAGACTTAGGCTGGTTATTTTCTAAATTTTTTTAATAATTTGAAAATAGTTTGTAATGTAAGAGATGCATAAAGCTTTAAATTATAATAAATTGAGTAGTTGACTTGTTAAATCTTACTTGAAATTTTAAGTAAAATGGAATGTCTCATAATATTTTAAGTTGATACATATGCTAAAACTTTATCTTTGTTTTTTTTTCTGTCATGGATTAAATCTGTAAAATCTTCAAATCCCATTGTTATGCCTGTTATTTTTTCTCTTGCTCTCTAAAATATAAATGGAAACTGAGGCCAACATTGAGCAGTGACAGCCTGTTTCATGCTTGAACACAAACTTCAGGCTTGGAGGTTTCATTCAAGTATGAAACAGACTGTTGCCACTTAATGTTGACTTCGGTTTCCATTTTTGTATTTACATACACTCAATCATATATATTGAGCATTTTAACCCATAAATATAGCACACTGTAAAACTATATTTATGTAAATATTTAATGTTTATAGTAATAATGTGTGTGTGTGTGTGTTAGGCAACATATTTCTTGCAGTTCATATTTTGTATCAAAATTTATTGGTGTCAGCTTTTATCAAATACACTTTTATAAAATTTGGATTAGATCAAAAATAAATTCTTAATTTTTAATTAAAAAAATTTTTTATTTTTTTTTTTTTTTTTTTACTTTCTTTGCTTAAAATTTTTGAGAACTCTACTTTTCTAATTATTCTCTAAGACTTATTAACTACATGTTAAATTATTAAAAATCCGAAAGGTATATGACTTTCAAAAAGAACTGGTAATCCACTCTTTTCATAGAAAAACAACAAAACATTCAAAAGAAAGATTTACACTTCAAACATTCTTGGTAACCATAAATTTCTAAATTCTTTTGACACCACAGTGCCGTGTGTGTGTCTGTCTCTAAGTGTTTCCCATTAGATGCAAGTATTCTTTTGGTTTGTCTTGAATTATAGGTATCCTCAGTTTCTTTCTACTGGCAGATCCACCATCTCTGTGTCTTGCTTTTTGTGATTAGCACCTTTTTTGATTAAATTAACTAATCAAACTATTCATTAGTTGAGGTAAACAATTTGTACTGCCTACATCATTCTGTACAACCTTTTGATCTTGATTAGTGTCAGAAAAGTCATGGCTGTAGTAGAAGAGCTAATTTTAACTTTAATTAACACACTTATTAACAACAAAAAAACAGACAGGGTTGGTTTTGTTGTAATTTCAAGACTGAAAGGAAGATCTTGTAGCAGTCTAACAGTACAAAATAAACTGAATACAATGACAGAAAATCTTGTCTAAGGTCTTGGCAGCTTCCCTTAACCAGAATTTGTCAAAGTACAGATTATCTGGTACTCTGCAGTTTGAATACAAAATTAATTGCATTGTTATATTTAAAATTGTTCACTTCATTTATATTAAAGAATTTATCTGATTTTGATTTTCTCCAAAAACTTTAATTTTGTAACTTAAAATAATTTCAGTATTTTTTTTTTCTACTAACAAATGTACAAATTCTCATACAAATTAGCTCATCTCATATATTGTCTGGAATATGCCTATAAAGTACATCTGGCAGCAAGGCTCCTGATTAGGAGGTTTTGGGGAATGCAGAACCACCTATTAATTGCTGATGTTTCTAAATGCACACTGACCTGGGCTAGTAGCACCTGTTAGGGTCCCACTTATAGGCAAATAGTGAACCCCCCAAACTGGGGTCAAAACACTATGAAAGTATAAAAATACTTTTTGTGGTAAAATTTCCAACAATACATTTAAATAATAAAAAGAAAAATTCTGGCAGTAGATTTTAATAGTAAAAAAAAAAAAAAAAAAAAATTTTTTCCCAAAGCTCCCAAGAAAATTAACTTTTGGCATTAAATGACCCATAAGGTGTTGATATGTCATTATTCCAAACCAAACTACTATCTCACACACACACACACACACAAACTCCTGTTCATCAGGTGAGCACTTTGGAAGGGACAGTATTTGATTGCTGTTGCTAAGCTCTTTGTAATGAATAGAGCTCTCTTGCAGCTGATAAATGCTTATATCACGCATATAATGTGTTGAAGTTTCCTTTCCTTGTAGCATGCGCCAATAGCCTAGGGGTAAGAGTCTCTAATGTCAAATTGGTTGAGTTTTGATCCTGGCTTGCAGCAATCGTGATTAGCCACACTGAAGAGCTGTAATACAGTGAAACAATCTGTCTGGATGACTCTATCTATCACTTACTTTTAAATTTAAAAAATTTTTTAAAATCTTCACTTTTCAAACTTAAGAATTTGAATGATACAAATTTATTAATTTTAATATTTTAGGCAACAATAATTAAACAATTTTAATACAATTTTGAATCATTACCACTAGAATGTGAACTCGGTAATGGTCAGAAGATTGCAAGAGCTGCATGAAACTCTTGAGTCATGTTATCGACATTGGATATTATGTATATTCACTAATATTTATAATTAGCATTCTGTTTCATGCAGGGCATATTTTCTACAATTCCTATTCATAATGGAGCTCTGTCAGTGTGCTGACAGTTGAAATTAATTTTTGTTCCTTTTACTTATTAATCTGTTCTCAATTTTGTTTTTCTTTTGTTTCTCCTCCATACATACATTGCGATTTTTATTCCTCTTGTTTTCATCATTTTTATTATAGCCTCTTCTGCTGTTAGTGTTCCCCCTTTTGTTTTTACTTCAGTCGTAGATTGGGATATAATAAACAAAACAAAAAAATGAGACCTTGCAATCTGTGTATGGTGAAAATCTTGAATTGATAGTATTAGAGAACGTGAATGGATTAAAAGGAATATAAAAATTATTTTGAACATTCCACATTCCTTTTGAAAAACGAGAAAATCAACTAAAGAGCTCGACAACATCCCAGGAAAATGCCCATTTTGGAAATTTCACTGTGTGAAACCGTCAGTCAATTAGCAAATAATCAAACGTTATTTTTATATGTATTAAAAACGTTTTAAAAGAGCTATTTGAAATGATGCACTCATAAATATTGGGTTAGCCAAAAAGTCTTTTTTGTTAAATAAAAATAAGACACTAGTTTTAAACACACAGCCATTTATCCTATCAATGGTGCAATTAGTATTTCATTATCTTCAGCCAACCCGTGGGCCAATCCATTATTACTTACTCAAAGAATTTACCTACAAAAATCTCTTTGAGGTAAATTTTTATATTCTCTTCAGAATTGAAGGTCTGTCCATTCAATGAATTTTGAATAGACTAAAACGGTTGTAAACATGAAGGCACATAGTTGGGCAGATATGGATGGTGCAGCAAAATTTCCCAGTAACTGCTGCCACATCTGCAAAAAAAGTGTGCAATCTGGCATTGTCATGATGCATAACGAAGTAATCCCCAAATTCTATTAGCCCATTATCTCTCCTTGATTATACAGTGACACACATAAATATTGGATACATGTTATTTTCTGTTATAACTCTAGTTTATGTTCACCATTTTGCCTGATATTTGGTAAGTAATATCTTGTAAAGTTGTTTTAGTTGTATGTGTAAGGAAAATTAAAAACTCATGGTTGAATCTATTTTTTTTTTTTTTTTATCAAAGTTCAAAATTACCCTATGCAAAAGTATTGGATACATCAATTTAATATTTTGGTGCCTAGACTCTGTTTTGTTTCACTGCTTCCAGGTTTTTTTATAGTTGGCCACAAGTTTTCCACACTGATCCACCGTTATTTTACCCCATTCTTCCTTGCATAATTCCTCTAATTGCTTGATATTTTGTGGATTCCGCTTTATGAACTTTAACCTTCAAAGTATTCCACAAATTCTCAATTGGATTCAAGTCAGAGACTGACTTGGCCAATTGAGAGTACTAATACAATTATTTTCAAACCATTCCTTTGTAAGTTTTATGGTATGTTTGGGATCATTGTCGTGTTGAAGCACAAAATTCGACCATGTCCTAAAGAAGTTGCAGATTTCTGAAGGTTCTTCTCTAGAATCTCCCTGTACACGCTACCATTCATTCTACCATGGATAACTTGTAACTCACCAGTGCCCTTGGATGAAAAGCATCCCCATATCATAATGGAAGCACCCCCAAACTTAACTGTGGGGATGGTATTGTGCTTGTTGAAGGCAGTGCCATTTTTTTTGCCAAACACTTGTCGCTGTGTTCCTTCCGAATAGTTCTTCTTTCGTTTCATCTGACCAGATTTACCTTTTGCATACATTTCTTTTCATAAGTTTCAACAAACTTTAATCTGTCTTTGATATGTTTGGTTTTCAGTAAAGGAACTTTTCTTGGTAATCTTGAATGAAAGCCTGTATGATATAGAGCTCTGCTAATGGTATCCTTACTTACATTAATTCCATCACCCTCAAGATCAGTTTTAATTTCAGAACGAGTAATGAAGGTGTTGTTGTTGTTGTTGTTTTTTTTTTTTTTTTTTTTTGCACATTTCTGCTGATCCACCTTGTACTCTCATTTATTTTTCTCGGTCTTCCATTTTTCAAAAGGTTTTCTGTATCGTCACCATACTTCTTATACTTTCTGATGATATTTCCTACTGTACTTATTGCTAGATTCATTTCTTTGCTAATTTTTCGGTAACCTTGTCCTCCTTTGTGACGTTCAATGATTCTATCTCTGGATAATTCTTTAGTTTTTGCCATTTTTAATCCTTGAATTGCAGAATGCACATCAAAGACTCAGATGATTAGTAGCACTATCTTGTAAACAATTGTGTGCTTCTCTGATTGGTCAGAGATAGCATTCCAATACTATCGAAAACTTGAATATTTAAAGTCTTTTAAAATACAAAGTTTCGATTGGAAATTTGAAAAAAGTGTCATGTATCCAATACTTTTGCATAGGGTAATTTTGAACTTTGATAAAAAAAAAAAATGGATTCAACCATGAGTTTTTAATTTTCCTTCCACATACAACTAAAACAACTTTATGAGATATTACTTACTAAATATCAGGCAAAATGGAGAACATAAACTAGTTATAACAGAAAATAACATGTATCCAATACTTATGCGTGTCACTGTATATGTATTTTCGGTTGTAGATCAATGAAAGTTCTTTACAATATTTCTTATATAATTTTTATGTGATTCAGCCCTTTTTTATATATTCTTTTTTTATTTTATTATTTCTGGAAGTGATTTGGGCATAAACGTCTTCAAAGTGATTTTTAGAGTTTAATTTTATTTCTTTTTCATTAATAGGGTTACCTTTGTTTATGCAATGTGTTTTTTTATTATTATTTTTTTTTTCTCTTAATGTTACATCTTCATGTATATTTTTTATTTTCTGCCATGTGTTAGTTTGTGGTGTAACATCTTTTATTATTATTAGTTCTGAAAGAAATTCTATAATTTCTTTTTTTATTTTTATTTTGTTTTTTTTTTTTGTTCTTTTTTTAATGATATAGGTCTATCTTGTATATTATTTATTTAATGACTAACTAAATGTCATTTGTATTGCAGGGAACCAGAATCATTACCAAGAAACTTCAAATGGTAATGCAAATGAAGTTAGCAATCTCTCTGCCTTAGCAAAAGAGTTTGTGCCTAAAAGCGTAAGTGACTTTCTTCTTTTATTTATATATATATATATATATATATATATATATATATATATATATATATATATATATATATGAAATATGTTGTAGTGGTTCCAATGAGAGAAAAGTATGTATATTAAAAAGAAGAGAAGAGAGGTGCCGTAAAACGTTTTTGGTTGTAATGTGGATTTATTTAGAAAAAATATTATGCTTTGTTTTACATAATTTTACTACGACACGTGTTTCTGGTCTCGTCTGACCGTCTTCAGGTAAAAGTGGAGATTTCTACATATTATTAAAAATAATTAATTTTTCTTCATGATCAATGTGAAATATTCTCAATATGAGACATTCTCTGTTTGTGTGTTGGTAATCCAATTTTCTTTCTAGAATTGTCAATGAAGATTTTGCGTGAAGGGTCATAAAACAATTAAGGTTGGTCCAGCAGTAGTTATCGGCATTTTATCTTTTAATGTTTTAGTGACCCCTATGTGCTCTTGGATCTGTTTCTATTTTGGTGTGTTCCTGTCAGCATGCGTGTATATAAGCATGCATATATTTCCCCTCCATACATACTGTCTTACTACGAGGAATTCGTAAACTTATTTGTACCTACATACGCACATACACACTATCCCACCACAAGTAATCAGTATACACACATATTTCCCAAGCTACATGGAACCAGTACATACACGCACACACACACGTACTTCTTAAGTTGTCAACATCCGCATATACATACATAAATGTAAATGTATGTATGTATGTGTACATACATATATATATATATATATATCCTCGTGTCTCCTGTATATGAGTGTGCGTCCATGTATGTGGAGTGATTTTATCATTGTATTTTGGTCACCCTGTGTGCATGTTGTGTGTTTTTTGTGTGGGGTTACGATCATATTTAGTTCGGTTTGAATTTGTCTATAAAGTTTTTTTCCTGTATTTGTAGATACGAGTAATTGTCTGTTTGATATATCGCATGATATTAAACTTACCCTGGTTACATTTGAAAATGTGATACAAAAGTTTTCTGTTGTCTGTCAATTTTATATTGCTTTTGTGTAGGAGACCCTGTTGTTCAGTTGTTGGCTGATGCCTATATATGACTTCTTACATTTTGTGCATTTAAGTGCATAAATTACATTTTGAGTTGCAGTTTAAGTTTTATTTATTGTGAATGTTTTTTTGGGGTTTTCAAAAGTGTAGGAGTTTCCTTCTATAATGATGTCACAAACCCCACATCTTTTTTTGTTGCATTTTGTGACTCCCTGTATTTTGTGTTGGCTAAATTTAGATGAGGTTAATATGTGTTTTAGGTTTCTAGATTGGTGTTTGGTCTTAATTATTTTGGTTGTTTTTAGTATATTATTCAGTTTATTATTCTTGCTAAGTAAATCTAGATTTTTTGTGATTTCTGGGAATATTTCTGGATTGTTTTTTTTGTGCGTTGAGACATATGCTAGAGTTTGTTCGACGTTACGTTTCTTTTTATTTCTAAGTTGGTCTAGAGGAATTTCTTTCACAAGTTCAATACCTTTGTTTATTAGTGTTGTGGGGTAGCCTCGTTTCTTGAGAGTTTTATGTAGTTCTTCTAAGCGGATTTTTCGGAGATGTTTATCAGTCACTATTGTACAAATTCTACATGCTAGGGAATAGGGGATGGATTTTAGGCAGCTTTTTGGGTGATGGCTCTTGAAATGAAGGTATTGTTGGGTGTCTGTGGGTTTGTGGTAGATATCTGATTATGTGGTTGTTTTTATTTCTAATGAGTATATCTAAAAATGGTAATTCGTTAAAATTATATTCTTGCGTGAATTTGATTTTTGGGTGTAAGTTTTGAAGTAGTGTATGGAATTGGTTAATATCACCCCATGATGATTTCCAAAAGATGAAGCAATCATCTAGGTATCTTTTCCGAGATTTAGTGAATTGGGTCTTTATATTTGCCTCGTATATTTGTTCTATCTTTTCATAGGTTTTCTTCTAGGTAAGCTAATGTTAGGGTGGCATATGTTGGTGCCATTTTTGTTCCCATCGCAGTACCTAGGGTTTGGATATAGTTTTTGTTGTCAAATTCAAAGGTGTTATTGTTTAGAATTAGGTCTATACTATCGATAATGAACTCTTTAGTGAATCTCGGATGTAGTATTTCTGGATGTTTTTCAATCCAGAATGAGATCGCTGTTTTTCCTAGTTCATGGGGTATGTTACTGTATAGGCTACTGATGTCAAAAGTTGCCATAAGCATTCCCGGATCTACCTTTTGTGGTATGCAGCTAAGGAAATGGATATCATCTCTGATGTGGCTTTTAATTTGTTTAGTATATGGTTGCAATATTATGTCTATAAGGTTACTGAGTTTGCTAGTGGGACAGACTGGTCCTGCTACTATGGGTCTGAATGTAAGGTCACTGGGGTTTGGGATGCTAATGTATTCAGATTTTTGTATGTATAGCTGCTTTTATTTCACTCGATTTATGAACTTTAGGTAGTCCGTAGAAATTACTTGTTTTTGGTACAAAGTTTATTAGGAAATCCTTCTCTTTTTTTTTTTTTTTTTTTTTTTTGTTATATATTTTTATATATATATATATATATATAAAATTTGTGTGTGTCTAGATTATGGGCAACATTTTTTTTTAATCTAGAGACCTTGATGCAACCTGTCATCAAATAAGGCATGGGAAACCTTAGTGTGTGTGTGTACACATGACCAGACACTCCTGCGGAATTAATCAATTGACAATGGAACTATATTGCATGTACTTTGCAACTGTTGCACTCACACTGGCTGAGAAAGTTGATTCTTTGTCTCGTGTATGTTTTGTTTTGTTCTTTTTTTTTTTGGTGGGGGGGTAAAACTTTGCAATAGATGAATCTGTTGGTAGTCTCTTACTTTCCTGTCCAAATTTGTCTTCCAGCAACTTCTAACATCATAAAGCAAAAATTGTTTTGTATATTTTAAAAATAATCAAGAACATGATGGAGCAATTGCAAGAGAAATATTCTGAAGAGGACTAAAACACCAATACCCTAGGAAGGCCCTTTTTATTAGCAATTTACTACTCCAGATTCACAGAAAAATTAATTTTTCACTTAATGTGAAATGGCCTATTAATTTAAATTTTCAGAGATTGTGTTGAAACTGTAATTTTAGTTTGTTCAAGATTTTATGAATTCTGAAATTCTCCTTTTGTAATATTTTAAAAAAATTTAATTCTTATATTTTCCATCTTGTGAAGAAAAAGGAAAAAAAAACTAAATTCTCAGTGTTTTGTGAATACTTTGAATAAGCATAAGAAAATTAGTATTTGTTAATCAGAGATTGATTGCTTAAATATATTTGGATTTGTTGCTTTTTGTCCTTATTTTTAAAAACTGGTTAATAAATAACATTTTTGCCAAATGAATCCGTTTTTATTTTAGACAGGCCAGACAATAGTTGTTTCTCACAAGGGAGGTAACTCTTGGTTGATGCTTGCTTACTTTTTATTCCCTAATCTTAAACTACATCACATTGCTATTGTTGTTAGTCCTGTGTATGATGATAAACTACACCTGGCAGCAAGGTCTCCTATCAGAAGATTGGAGGTTTTGAGAAGCATGGAACCCCCTCTTAATTGCTGTTGTTCCCAGATTGTTAGGGTCCAAGCTATGGCAAATAGTGAAACTCTAAACAAAACGCTATGAAAGTATAAAATTACCAACAGTACCTATTTATTGTAAAAATTACCAACAATACACTTTATCTGTACTTGAATCTATAAAATTGTGTTCAAAATATTTGGATTTTGGCATTAAATAAACCATAGAGGTTGATATGTCACTAAACAAAATCAACCAATCAACTAACTGCTATTGTTAAATTTAGATTCATATTTCTTTCATCTTAATTTCAGTTGCTTTTTATAGCAACCTTTCAGGCCATTAGAAAATGGCGCAAATCAATAGTAAAGAATAAGCCTTCAGGTTGTAATAAACAATAATTGAAATTAAGACTGAAGAAATATTAGTAAAATCATTAACAATACTTGGCAAATATAAAATTTTACTATTATCTGTCTGAATTTCTGGGATGATGAGTTTACATTATTTACATGTGAACTATTATCTTCATCTTTATTATCATATTTTGGCTGTTGTGCCCTCTAGCCTTCTGCAGGTGTCTGTTGATCTGCGTACCCTTCAGGGAATTTCAGACTGGGCCCTTTATTTAATCTACGGGAGTAGATTGTTCTCATTCCACTGTCCATGTCTTGGGATATCTTGTCTTTTTAGTCTTGCTTGGTTATTGGCTATTTACACTGAAACCTAAGTCTATACTATCCAATACAGGGATTGAACTTGCAATTACTTTGTCACCATATTCAAATAACTGAGAAGTACTAAAAAAAAAAAAAAAAAAGGACAAGATGAGATCTCTTGATATAGACAGTAGAATGAGAACAGTAATTCAGTTTGAAGGACACCTGGTCAACATGCACCTGAGAAAGTCCAAAGGGTATAACAGCCAAAACATGGAATTCGAGAAGAATAGTTTGTATGTAAATAATGCAAATAACATTTTATGTTGTTGCTATTATAAACACATCTATTTGGCTAAAGACAAATTCTATTTAAGTATGAATACTTTTATTTTAAATTGTTCTCATCTTAGTTGATTATAAATATTATAGACATAATGTTTTGGTGGGTATTTTGCCGAAACCTTGTCTGTTTCAACCAAGATGAGAACAATAGTTTGAAATAAGAAAATTACTAAATTAAGAAAAGTGGTATGAACTGGCATCAAATTTCAAAAACCACCTGACATTGAATATAAAAAAAAAATTCCAAAAACACACCAACTTCCAGATGGTGGCATAGTGGATATAGTTAATTATACATGTTTTACTACTATCTAGTGGTTGTGAGTTATCAATGGATTATGTAATGAAGCACTGATTCATCAGGCATAAACAATCCCTTCAGGGACATCATACCAATCATTGGTTACCTGA